AGGGAAGCCAAGGGAAACAAATAATCATAACTCATTTTATTTATTAGGCAGATGTGTACTTAGCCAAAGTAAAAACTTAATATTTTGGATATCCTTCAGGTAGCTTAAATTTAAGTTCAACCAACATAAAATTCAAATAAAATAAATTTATTTATATTAAAAAGTTTGAAAACCATTAGTGAAGCAATAGGAATAAAAATGGAAAGTCTATTCATATAATATAATATTATTGTATGAACAAGTAACAACAATGTTTAACTTTTCTATGCTAGATTCAGAAATGTTTCATTTTTACAAAGATGGTATGATACCATATAACTATTTTAAAAGTTAACTGTGTAGCACTGTAATAACATTTTTAGTGTTTTTAAATTAAAATTGAATAGTTATAATTGTTTATAATCATATTTAGAAAAATAAAGGCATTTGTAAACAGGATGTTTGTTTTCAAATTTTATTTTAAAGTTGTTACTTATGCAGTGACACCACTTGGATTTTCACTTATTTTAGACATTAAAAACATATGAAAAACATCATTCTCACAAGAATTCTATCTTCCAAACAATGTAAAATCAATTCTGTAACAAGTCTGTTTAAGAGCTGCAAGTGTCCGAAACAATATTAACTTTGATGAAACAAATCTGTAAAGTCTAAACACATTGTAATGTTAGAGTGCCTAAAAAAAGACAAGGCACAAAGATTTACCATGGCAGTATTTAATTGATGCTCTTTTGTTGTATTAGCCTAGAAATAGTCAGTTATTGGCTAAGGTCATAACTGGATTGCTGCACTCTACAAAATCTTAAAAATGCTTTAATTGTAATTACTAGCTCAATCAAATAAAAACATTGGCATATAATATTTCTTTTTGATATTGGACAGTAATATCTGGACATCTTGCTGTTTTATTTTGTATTAATTTCTGAAAATAAAAATGGATAGAGGGTCTGGATCCCCTGGACTCTTTCCATAGATTCATGCCTGCTTATACAGCATTATAAAATACAGTTATTGATTTCTAGAAAAGGAAAGAGGGTGTGGTGGGAAGGTCTGTACCTCTCCTCTAGATCCATACCTGCTTCTGCAATATCAAAAGGATACAGTTATTAATTTCTAAAAAAAGTGTACAATGGGTCTGTACCCCTTCTCTAGATCTATGCCTTATTATACAACATTATACCATACATTTATTATTTCATGAAAAAAATGGAAAGGAGGGAGGGTATAGGCTCCATGGATCCCTACTCTAGATATTCTTCTGCTTATACAACATTAAGCAGTACTTTTGCGTAATTATAAGTTAGAAACATAACACACTGTAAAGAAATTGGCAAAATAATTTACACTTTATTTAACGCTTAAGTAGCCACAAAGCAGTGAGTGCTGGTGTCAGTCAGTTCCCTTTCCTCTAATAAGCAGTTCAAAATTAGTGGTAGTGTCAGATAGCCTTAGTAGCTTTGCCATAGTAAATACAGGACGAGCAAGTCTAATGGCAACACAAAACGATCTGGAGACAAAAGTCATGCCCCTGTCCCCCAAATCATGCTAGCTGAAACTAACTTGAAGTAAAAACCTTTAATGCTAAAGTTGGGTTCTGATACTTCTCATGGCCAGAGCACAGATGACACAGTAATTAGCTTTGTTTTGACAACAAACGAGCCTAATGGCAATATTTTGGATACTTGGATAGTTAGAGTAATCAAAAATGGTAATAATCTGAAGCACTGCTTTCAATTATTTGATAATTTTCATGATAAACAATGTAATTTCAAATAATTGATTGTTGGAATAATTGAAAACAGTAGCGATACTTAGAAACAGTAATTTTGATTAGTTGATTATTTTCCAGATATTAATCAATTTAATTGTAATTAACACATGGGTCAATCAGCTAGACTTGTACCATTTGGCCTCTGCAATGGCAACATAGAAATCCTGTAAACTGCAAATATTTTTCCACATTCTTGTAGCTTGTCCATGTTTAACAGAAGTGTTGATCTTATTGGCTTTAATGCTTCATCATGTATTGATGTTTACACCATAAATTGTAATAAAAAAACACTGTAGACTGGATGTTAATAGTTTTGATTCAACAGTTTCTGCTCAAATCAAGCATCCTTTAACTTTTGTGAAAATGTTAAGAACACTGTCATGTATAGTTTACTGAGTTTGGATATTCAAAAATATTTGAAAGAAAATATTACATTGAAGATTTATACATATAAATAGGATATATACCTATTTATTAACATTTAAAGCATGAAATATTCAGTAAAGACAGTTACAGAGTTTAGAGAAGAATACAAAAGTAATTCTGATTTTGAGAAAGTTAATATTAAAGTTAAAACATATTCATACACAACAATCCTAACTAAAAGGTACATGAAACAATAGTTTGAGCAGACAGATCTAGAGCCAAAGTTGAAATAAATGGACAAAAATATTGTTTTTACCTTATATTTACCCATCTGAAAAGGGAGGTAAGAAATAAAAAAGGATCAAATCTCACTGTAAAGGTACTACAAATCTTTTAAGAAATTGGCTCATGTTGTTATCAGCATTTTGTCTTTTCATTTGCTTGTATATTCAGGATATGGTTAACAAACTGTTAATTAAAGGTTCAATGTTATAATATATGTGGTTAATCAACAGCTTGTTACTTGAACACTATCAAATATTTATTTAATTTTTCTTGAAATAAATAAATAAATAAATATATATATATATGTGTGTGTGTATGTATACAAAAGCTGTTGGTAATTGTCAGAAGTAATCACGTTATAGGAACTTTTAGATTTAGCTAACAGGCAATAACATACCTGTTGAATTTCAACCTAAATTAAAAGTGTAGTGTTACTTGGAAATATTTGCTTTACAAAGCACACAGTATATCTTAAAAACAAATTTTGTATATAGGTTACAGGGTACATATAATCCATGAGGTAAAGAGAACAATAAACTGAAGTAAAATTTTATTCTCTTAATGCAGTAGTATGTGCACTGATTTGGTGTAATGCCTATTTTGTTTGAAAGTAGTGAAATTTAGTGTATGAATGGATATAATTGGAATGAGCTATTTTAACTCTCTCAACATAGGCTCAGTCAATTTGTCTGACCACGTGACCTCTTTTTACTCGTTTAAAGTCTTTGTAGATCTAATACTTCTAACTTTCAATACAGTTTGTATATCTTCACAAAATTTGGCAGTCTTTCACATACAAAAAACCATATTTTTGGTGAAGTATTTTTATTAAAATAAAATAATGATTTGGCCATTAATATATTGAGTATTTGTTTTGAATAGTCCATATGAAAAGTAATTTTCATGTTAAAATTAAAAATACTTTTCCTCATCTCAAAAATCTCAAATTTCCTTTGTGTAATCCATAAAACCTCCTAAATGCATTTGAAACTTTTTTTCAGTAAAACTTTATAGTTTATCTGTTAAAACTATACCATATCTTAAAACAGGTTTAGTTAATTTGACCAACCTCATAACCACCAAAAAAAGAATTGAAACAAAACTTAAATTTCCCTTTTTTCTTTTTAGAATGACTTCAAATTGTAACATGAAACTACATTCATTTATCCTAAGTAGCTCTAAGTTCTTAACAGTATACTTTTATTTATAATTAAATTTTATTGTTTTATTGTCCTTTGTA